TTAAATCAGCGAATTATTAATATTCTTAACTCATATCTTTAATTAATAGTCTTTTCATGATTTTAAATATTATTTATAAATTGTAGTAAATTAGTTGTTAGGATTAGAAGGGTATTTGTTGATTCACTATACAATTTTTATAATAATCATGAATATCCAATTTTGAATCGAATCATATTGTAATGGGACTGCATTTTCTGGCACACCTATATATTTGTGTATATATATGACCAATTAATTAATTACCTGGTTAGTAAACCCAACCCCTACTCCAAGTAGTATACGGCCCAATATCAGCATGTACACGTTTACAGCCGCACCTCCTAAAGCAGCGCCCATTAGAAACGAGGCCCCACCAATTAAGATAGAAGGCCGACGGCCCCAGGCTCTCGTCACTGGCGAGGCAAAGAAGGATGCTATAAGGCCGGCTATGTATAGTGAGGAAGTGAAAGCTGTCAACAGCTGGCTGTCGAATTTGCAGTAGTTGCTTATATCCGTATCTTCTCTCATCCTTCTGTATATGCTGGGGAAGAATTTCTCTAGGAATGGCTCCATTGAGGTCACTCCACCTAGATTTCGAATACCAAAATTAATTACAAATTGTGAAAATGAACACGAAGATTGAATAACATAATGGATAGTTATAAATTACCGGTAACTCCAGTGTCATAGCCGAAGATGAGTCCACCGGTGGCAGCTACTACAGACGATAGAAACACAAACCATGTAATTTTGCCGTTGTACGCCAAATCACCTTTGTCTTTACTGATTGCTAAGCCAACAGCCATTGATTTGTGGAGAAGGAGAGAACAGAAGTTTAAGGTTATAGATTTGTGGAGCTAATAAGCATGTTAAGTCTCAAGAGCTTTTGCCCTGAAAAGTTTTCAAAATTTTTAGGCTTTGGCAGATTATATTGTACTACTAGTTATAGGCATGGGAAAAGCTTGATTAATTGAGCTTTAATTAGATACATACATTTCAGGTTGGTAGAGGGCCAAGTATTTCATTCTTTGTCCTTGTTCACATGTTATTACATAATTATTATAGTTGACTCTCAACCTTTATGACGGTATTAGTTATACTACCATACCAGTGTATTTACTTTATGAGACTACTAGTTTCATTAAAACACAAATNCAAAAAAAAAAAAAAAAAGTTATATAAGATTATGAATCACAAAAATTAAAACTCAAATTCATAAAAATGTCTACTTATAATAGGGACGTGAATACATCCATTTTTTCAATGAAAACGGCTATATACAAAAATCATGTGGCTGTTTTCTTTGATTTGTCTTTTAGGCTTTTAGCCCATGAGACAGAAACAAGATTGGACAACTAAATATCTAGGACAGGTGTGTGGCTGGATATTAGTATTTAGTCATACACCGTAAATTGATGTGTATTGGTCGTCGGTGGTCCTGGTAAATTTGGGCTTAAAGTGTTCATAATTGAGTATCTAATGGGCCAAGCCTGTGATTTGGCGTATAGTCCGCAAAAGCAACTTATGTAGGCCCATGAGTGGTGGTGGGTGAACATCATACTGTTGAACATATTCAGTTTACTGCTAAATGAATTGAGCTTAAATCGAGCCGAATTGGCTCGTTATGTTCACGAATGAAAAAAAATGTATACGTGAACAATTTGTTAACAATTTTGACTTTGTTGAATGGATTGAGCCAAATCGAGCTTAAACCGACCTAAATCGGCTTGTTTATATATTAAGCTACCGTGTTAAAATTTATGGCACATTAACTGTACATAATCGCACAAACACAAGCAAGAAGTGTTCGACTCAGCTCAGCTCGAATAACACGCGATGAGTAGTTCTCAATGAATTTTGAGTCTCCTAAAGCTGTGGACCACTTGTTGAAAAGGCTCCAATAATATACCAAAAAAGCAGTATATCCTCAACCTTTGCAATCTTTTTATCCTCATATAAGCCCACTAGCCACTGTCTAACCACAATTATAGAGTTAAAACTTTAAAGTGGATGATTTGTACACCTTTACACAGGTCACTGAGTAGTGACTACTTTTGGATGAAAGAGAGATCAGCTCTTACCATGTACATAAGTAATGTGATTTTAATTGAGACAGTCAAACACACATAAGAATTTGGATTTCCATAAAATTGAATGCAGAATTTTGTAGGATAAAACCAGATATTTGTTGCTTCAAATAATTTGCATCTATGGGGCTAATATTCATACTTTGAATTAAATACTAGTGTAACTCATGCGGTCATGTACTAGTGTTCAATTTGTTTTAACTATTGAATTAAATTATTAAAATTTAATAGGTTGCGGCTGTTGATGGTGTAATGGGAGGTGAGAGAGGGACTCGTCGGTGGTTCAATCATTGGAGAATTCGCCGGACTTGAGGGCGGATGTACATAAGTGCCCTATAAAAATTTAACAGAATAATTTAATGCTTATTTAACTATTAAGAATATTTATTAAGTACGATCGATTTTATTAAGTACGATCAATTTTATGGGATTATGAAACATAAAAGATTACAAATCAAGGACTTCTGGTCCTTGTTTTTAGGCGTCATTCGTGTAATCACGAAAAGAAAAACAAAAATATATATATATATATAAATACATAAATTAGGTACAATCGATAAATATGATCTTATTATTTTAACCTACGATTGATAATTATGATCTTTTTATTTTAAACCATTTTGGTGTATTATGGAAAAATGTTTTAAACAAAAATCTACAATGAGTTGAAATGAATATTTGAAAAAAAAAAGCACGCTAAGAATATGAACAATTGTCAAAAAAAAGAATTGTTAGATAATATTTTTCATTTTTCTGTACTTGTAATAATATAGGGTAAGACTACAATCTCATTACGCAACCATTTCGTTGGGATTTGTAACCGTTAGATCAACTATCATTGACGGTTACTTGATGATCTAATGGTTACAATCCCAACGAAATGGTTCCATAACAGGATTGTAGCATTTTCCAATAATATAACTTAAAATATTCCAC